TAGAAAGGAAATCGATTTAAATACTTACCTTTTGTGTTTTCTCGATTCAAAGAACATCCTTTTGCGATCCTTTGTCTATTTAATTAATTAATTACTCAAGAAATATTTTAGATGTCAGAGAAACAAAATTAATTGACAAGATATTTTCACTCTTAAAATTATGCATTTAAAACAAAATTAATTGATAATATATTTTATCTCCTAAAATCATGCCTTTAAAACTTAAACCAAAATTCTAGTGCAATCTATTCACGAGATGTTCTCCTTTAGCTTTATCAACAAGATATTCCAAAAATAATATTACCTTAAAAGTATAAGATTTATTGAGAATTTATTAGAGAATATATTACTTCTTAGCTTATCATGCAAGCTAAATCATTGAGAAACGTCCATCAATTTACTATAAATAAGACATTCACAGTAGAAGAAATGAAATCATTGAACTTTGTAGTCTGAACTTTTTATGTTAATAATGTTGTAAACTTTTTTTTCTTCTTATTTTAGAATATTAAGCTTTTATATTCCATGAGAGCTGATTTTTCTTTTGGTTTATATGCAGATATCCTATTATGACGATTTCTCCACTGAAGCTATATATGATTTGATTGTACACCTCTTTGATATATCATTTCGATAACATCTTTGTTCCTCAATATGGTAAAAAAATTCTCTATTTGATAACATATCTCAGCTATATCATTTCAATAGCATATTTTTGTGCTGCCAATACTTTTTTTTTAATTAGTAGATTTATATTATTGTTTAGAATTATAAGCTTATATATACATATATAACTCTTTGGTTTGCTGATTGTGATTTTGTTTTATGATCTTTTTTAATTAAAATTGATATATTTTTTTTGGTTTGCAATTATATGATCTTTTTAATTAAAATTAAATATATTTAATAATATTTATTAATCAAAAAATTATATCAATTACTTTTTATATTTATTATTTCCTTATTATATATCATTTAATATTTAAATATCTATAGTTTAAATGTAATTTACCTTAATGTTTTTAGTTGATTAATGCCTACCTTATTTTGAACACATATTACTTGTGCAACTTCAAATTATATTTATTCCATTGTTTTAATTCAATTTACTTTAATGTTTCTAATTTTTTAATCGTCTTTATAAACTTATTTTTAACACATATTACTTGTGCAACTTCAAATCATATTTATTACATTGTTTTAATGCAATTTACCTTAATGTTTCTAATTTGTTAATTCGTTTTAAAAAACTTACCTTATTTTGAATATGATTTAATTGCACAAGTTTATAACATATTAATTTTAAATCATTTAATGACAATATAACTTTAATATCTTTCTTTTAACTGTATCATTATTTATTATGAAATTATATTCCTAAACATCATTTGTTATGAAAATATATCCCTAATAACATAAGAAAAAAAGAAGGTTGAGTATATATAAAAGAGACACCTAAGGGATGTCAATACTAACTTATTAGTCTATTTTTATTCGATAAAAAAATTTAAATTTATAAATTCTTACATTTGTTTGTTTTTTCTATTAACAGATAAATAACACAGACGAAAGACCGGCTGTAATTAACTACAAATCATTTATCAGTTTGTTTCAATAGTATTATGCAAATTTAAAATTATTTTTCTCTCAATAAAATTTAGAAATCTATTAAATTTTTTTATATTGTACAGTTTCTAACAAATTTGACAATTTTTTGCAGGTTTCTATTGGATATTTTTAATTCATAACTGTTCTTCTTATTTTATATTACTTATTTAATTCACAAGATTGATTGGTAATAATTAAGAATGATTTATGTTAACGCATTAAATTCAGAACATCTATATATCAATAAAAATAATGTAATAAATAATACGAATATATTATTTGATACTAACTTATCGTGCAACCATATCAACACTGTTATATATATCTTACATTTTCTTATGGTTTACATTTTAAGTTGCTTATTTTCTTCAAAGCTTAATCTAATGACGTTTTTTATAAAAAAATAACTTCTGTGCATGTGTACTTAAAAAAACTAACAAAATATGAATGTCTATTTTGAGAATCTAAAACAGAGATATGGAAAAAAATAACTTCTTCTGTTATCTGCAAAGACTATGATGAAGAAAATATTGAAGTTATTAAAGAAGCATGTTATTGGGCATCAGCAAAGGATCTACGCAAGCTGTTTTGTGTCCTATTATTAACACATAGTATCACAAATCCAGAAAACGTTTGGAATGCTACTTGGAAAAAAAACTATCACAAGATATATTATGCAACCAAAGAAAAAATATGGATAAACCAAGTAAACTCATGTTTTTATCAAAAGAAAACGTCATTAGAAATTGTGTTTGGGTAAATATAATTTTTTACATGTTCTTTCAGACTTGGAGTAGATTGAATCAATCATGCTTTTGAACGGAAGCTCATTGACATTGTTTAAGTTTAGAACGTGTTATCAATAGTATACTCTTCTATTGGTTAAAC